CACTGCCTGCTCCGTACACCCAGCCCCCCCCCCCCTATTTTTACACCGGTGTGCATTACACACAACAAGTGCAAATGAGTTTAGTGAGTAATACCCAGAGAGGCTGCAGCCAGCATTCATGTTCAAGGAAAGCAGTTAGAGCGCTGTGATTATCAGAGGTGGGATTAGAGCGGGATTTGGCTGCTCATAAATACATCATAGCTTCATTAAACATGTACAGCCCTGGTGGGGGGAGGGGGGGGAGGGTCTGTAATGTTGGTGTTTAGGATTGGGGCCTGGACAAGGTTTAGCTAATTCATTGTCTTATTGTGGACTAGAAGGCGGGGGGGCCTGAAAAGTATTTCCTTCTGAAAGTACTTAATTAGCCCCCCTGCTCCGGGTAGGCAGTAAACAGCTGAGGGTGAAAGATGAAAGGCCAGCCTTGATTTGGTCTTTCTGCCTCATCATAGGCCGGGGGGGGGGCTTACAGCGCTGGAGGAGAGCCACGTCGGGCAAATGAGCTTTGATGCAGTTTGAGTTTAGGGATATTGCACAAACAACCAGTTGCAAGTTTAGAAGGATTACTTTGTCCGAAACAATACAGCTTGATAGTCTCCAAAAGCAGAAAATGTACAATAAAGCAGAGGAGCGGAACACAGCTGAATATTGTAAGTCATATCTTAAAAGAATAAAAGTGAATCCTTTGGTCCACTAAACCTCTCTTGAAATGCCTGCATACATTTATAATGCAGGCAATATTGCACTAAAATGAAATAGAACAGAATGTTAGCCAGATTACAGGCTAGGATATGATACATTGTTTGAAATGTAGCTTTGATTTCGTTGGTTAACAACTGTATTTTGAAAGTGAATTGGGGTTTTAAAGTAATCACAATTTTTATCGGTAGACCTGTAACCCCAAATCTGCTCTGACAATAGAACTGCTCTCGTTGTTGTCTTGAATAGAGTAAACCTTTTAAAATATTTAAAATGTAAAATTGTAGCCATCTTCCAACAAGTTGTGCAAATACATCAATCTCATCTAAGCTAGGCACCATTTTTCTGTCACTGTTTACAATGAATGTAGCTAGGGAGCAAGCTAGATGTTGTAGCATGAATCTTAGCTGAGTCTCTATTCCGATACTCACAATGTCCTCCACTGTGAACACGCTCAGTGTGTGGGTCTTGACTGTGGAGTGTTGGTTCAATCACACACGCCTGCTGAACTCAGTGGAAGTGACAATCCCTGCTGAAAGCTAGCTAGCAAAGTTAGCATTCGTTGTAGCAAATCAATACAGACAGCTCAATTAACACTTTAACATTAAGTGGCTTCTTTTTAACACCAGTATTGTGGAACGCTTATGAAATGTAGAAACAAAAACGAAATGTATAAGTATAGTTTATTTTTTACAGGGAGCATCGGGTGGTCTTTCAACATCAGTTACCTAGTCAAGATTGCGGAGTGTGAACAGTGACTTCACTTTCTGATCAGTATGAATGCACCATCCAGGTTCTCAATGTGAATGTTGCCATACTTTACATTTGGAAGCACATATGGACTCAAAATAGAAAATTTAAACGCAGCAATAATGTTGCCCTTTCAACTCTGTGTGATCTGTCCCCGAACGGCAACACCAGACCTTTTGGAATGCTACACACATCAGAGAGCCGTCCATAAAGCTACGGGAATCAAAAGCAAAGGAACACTAAAAGGAAATATTACCACCCTGAATTCTGTTGCCTGCATGCTATCTGTCAAAAGCCTCCTGCAAATACACCACTGCAAGTCAACTCAATGCTAAAGCTGTATGGGGCCAACACAGAGGTATTTACAGCCATCCTAATAACACTGTAATATTATACTTACGCTCTGTATTTTTCCTTCAAAAAGAGCATGTGTCACATTGGTCTCCCCCCTACAAATAGGAATTGAGGGTATTGCACCGTGGCTTTTCTGTCTGGCTTGTGAACAGACGGTCCAAATGGAACCCAGGTCCCGTCTCTCTGTTCCAAAATGGCACGGTTGTTAAGAAGGAAAATACATGAGATGAGAGGCTTGGATATCAGATTATCATTAAGTAGCACCAGATCCCCTGGTATTTTGTCAAGATTTTGGTATTAAATCTCCGCTTCAAAGTGACTAATTACGCTAAGTCCTGATTTCATGGTCACAGCTGTCCCACATTACCAATCACAACAGCTCCACGTAGACTGCTGCGGTCTATCCGCACGAGGAGATGCTGCGACTTATCTATGGTGGTATCAATGTCACCAACACGCTCAGCGGAGCCATCTGGACTGATACGTCCATCTCATCTTCATCAGCCTCAGCAGCCACCACAGGCGTGATCCGAATTCCAGAGGTTTACCTTCCGTCATTGTATTTGAGGTAAAAATGTAGAGCTCTTTTCCTTCATGCTCCATTTCATGACTCGCTCACACTTTAAGCACCATGTCATGCTCGATCAGCAAGTCCCTGCTGTATCCTCAGAGCTCAGTGGCCATGGGAGATCAGCCAAAGTGTGGATAACCAGGAAAGATTTCCACAGCTTAGCTTTTTGCAGTCCTCGGCTGTTAAGAGCCAATCAGTTCACACTACAAGACTTTAGGCCTGATTTTCCACTCCCAGCATATTTTGGAGCTGCTTGACATCAGAGTGCATTTTGACTTGTAGAGGAACTCTCTGCCTGATTGCTTACATTCACTGAGGAGGCTATTCTTTGTTTTAATATGCTTCTATGTTCAGTATGCTATGTGTAAAATTACACAGACTACTAGGGCTTGTAGCTCTTTTAAAAGAGAACAAAATGTGAACATTTCTTCAGCTTGTGTTAACCACAAATCGTATCTGAGGCCTGTGCAGAGAACTGGAAGTGGTCAAATGCTAACTAATTTCCAAGTTATAGGACTCGTTCCTGCACCATTCAATGGAGGTCCGGACAGCAGAAAATCATTTAAAATGTTTGGGTCATTGCAGTAGCACTTACAATGGTTTGGCTTATTGATAATGTACTTAAAGATGGTTTTATTGTATCTAAATGGTTGAATGCACTAATTTTAAATTGCATTGGATAACAGCCTCAGCTAAATGTAATAAAATGTAAAAAGCCCGGCTCAGTAGCAAATCTGCGTTAGCTCAGCCGTTACCTGTGTGTGTCACGTGTTGCATTAGCAACTTGGACAAACGTGGAGGTTGCACATAGTGTAGTGTTTGAATGATAAACCTAACACTTAACACAGTGACATTTCGATGAAGGTATCATAGTAAAGACATGTGGAAACAGGCTATTTTGAGAAGATGTGTGCCAACGACTACATCAACTGGCGTGACTCTGGGGTTTGTATTATGATATTTACTGTGGTAATTCTTGTGTCTCTCTTCGTGACAAAACGTAGTTTAGAGAGCAGACCTCGTCTTAGTGCGTGACTCTGTTAACGGTTAGTTAGGACCACGATGTATCCAAGACTCACAATTACAAGTGGTTGTAATGTGAACAGTACAGCTCTCTGAAATCGTGTTGCATGAACTTGGCTTTAGTTTTTATGGACAACCGTTGTTTATAAATGTTTTTTGAGAGTGACACTTTTCTCCAGATACAGCAGGGTTCATTATATTCCACAATTGGAAATTATTCAACAAAGAAACACAATGTCCTAGGGATATCTATTGCCTTTAGAGTAGTGTACGAGGTAATGTTAGACTGAAGTTAAGAGTGATATATCAAACCCTATCACCAGTGTTGACATTACACAATTCAGCAAAATCAGCTAACATTCAATGACAACATATTTCAATATCCAATACTAATGTTTAAATTTTTTCTATCTCTTTCTATGGCAACTTTATATTAAGGCTAAGGACAGTTTTTGATCATTACAATTCAACAATAATAGTTGATTGATGTTCAAGTTAAGGCAATAAATCACCCGTTGACATTTCAGGATTGGTGCTAGAGGAAAGTCAATGTGTTGTACAAGAAAGTGTCCATCCTATAATGAATATCAATCTAAATTTCTAATGTCCTTTGGATTCTTTCATGAAAGTAGAGATGTTTGCTCCATGGTGGTGCTAAACCAAAGGTAACTCAAATGATTTGGAATGGTAGAGGGTGTATCCACTGAAAATTCATGATAATCTGAGAAGTACATTTCCTGTTCTGGAACATTGGTAACCCAACTTGAACCTTTTGTTCCACCTGAGGAACAGACACACGTTACCCCGGGGCTTTAGCGACGGGCCGATGAAGTTTTAGTATAGGGTTCTGCCACTGTATTAAAACAAATTAAGAGCTATATAGAAAGAGATGACTTAGCTTGTTAGCTTAGCTTGTTTAGGCACTGTTATGCATTTCTACTGTGAAAAGGAGGAATATCTGCCTCCAATCAGAGTGCACAGTGAACTGTCATGTGATAGCCATGAGTCCACGAGAGTGGCAACGAGGAAAAGGGAGGTGCAGGAGCAGAAGAAGAAAAAAAGAGGCGAACATGGCTCTTGTTTTTCTTGACTCTGTGATGCCAAGGGGTGCAGGGTACAGGAACTAATAGCTTTTATACCAACAACTGTGTGGACCAATGTACGCATCACATTTTTGTATTGTTCAGTGAACTTGTTTTATCTTTTAATTGTTTCCCTTGTATGTTTAGCTGACTTTTCTGATGGAGAAATCCCTTTGGTTCACTTTTTGGTTTCTAACCACTGACCACAGCTCCCTGACATCACATGTCCACTAATGAAGACTTGGACATGTTGGTTTGTCCAAAAAGTTTTCTATGTTTGTTTTTTTTTGCATTACTTTATTTTGCTCCATACAGAGGCAATGGTATCACTGTCGTCTTTGCTAACGTGACAACACCAGTTGAACTATAACCATCGTAAGCCCTGCTGGCAAGCCCTATACACCAAATATATAAATGTTACATGGAATAAGTTCATAATAAAGTATAACATAAGACTTTATTGATTCCCACAAGGGAAACTCACAAATATGTTTCTGAGCCAAAGTCGTCTTTAGATGCAAATAAAACCCTAAGAGCACATTTAAAATACATTTACCATAAAGGAATATGACTTAGACATTACAATACTGTGTTTAGTGTATGTACTTATTCTGAGAAGCTGGAATCATACCACTGGAACTATTATTATCAGTGTGTTAACCAAGATACACTCACGATGTAAAGACAAACACACACGCACACAATGAAATCCCCCTAACGTCAGTGCCAATCCCTCTCTTTGGTGATGGTGAATCTGGTCCCCAGACGGGGGTCTTGATGTGTTCAGGGTCTGATGGAAAGCGACAGGTCGATTGCTGTGGTCCGACGCTCAGAGCACACAACAATCACTCGACTTAGTTTCTCTTCTAATAATGCATGTCTGCTGTTAGCGTGCTCCGCCTGGAGCGCCCCGCACAATCGAGCTAATATTTTGGTCTTGAGTTACAAATGACTAATAATCATAGGCTAACACAGTGGAAATATTAAGCTCAGCTCCTCCAGCTAGAGGCACCAGGCCATCTTGGAACGAGACGGTTGATGTAATAAAGTGCAGTACGTGCCTTTCAGTGTTTGGGAGACTTCAAACTGTCAGTCATGGAGAACATCAGACAAAATAAAAACTGCCAGCTCCCCTAAAGCCAGCTCTGCTGTCCCCATGGAAATTCTTCTTTAACTTTATGTATCTTAGTCTAGTTGCCAGCTCATAAAGTTCTATTGTGAACTATCTCTAAAGTTTAACCATAGAAATGTAAAGTATGGGTCCCAGCACAAAGAAACTGCCGATGCTAACTTGCATATGTTGAGCAATTTGTATAATTAGCATAATGTGCGTTAATTAAAATGAATGGGATTATAGCCTATGTAGACAATAGTAAAAAAATGACTTCTGCGATTTGGACCATTTTCAAGTGTTTTTGGGGGTTATTGCGGATGCTGAGTCAACATAAGCAAGCTAGAACCCGGCTGTTTCTGAGTGCCCGTTCTATACATTTCTAACATAAAACTTTGGGGTGCTGAATATTTCCAGGTTGACAACTGGACTCTATGAGCTGGCAACTAGACTATCTGGGGGGATTGGCTGAAGTATGTAAGCGTAAGCTGACCTGATGCGACGAATAGGGGTGTTTCGTTGGGAGAGGTCACAGAGGTGTGGGGGGGGGAAATGTTATGTATATTTATTAGGGTTGTCAGTCGATTAAAATATTTAATCATGATTAATCGCAAATTAATCGCACATTTTGTATCTGTTGTAAATGTACCTTAGAGGGATATTTTTCAAGTTTTTAATCTTATCTCTCCCAACCCTGTGTACTTCTTTGCACTGAGCCAGTTGCTCACACAGACAAGCCTGTTTACAGTTGTCGGCGAAATGCCCCTCTGTCTTCATAACAGTCAAAGCATGAGACTGAAGTTCCCACTGTGGGCCAAAATAATGTGCTGTGATGCAGTCGACACGTTGGAGGGTTGGATGCGATCCGAATGATCTAACGCAGCCCCTCGTCCCCCACAATGTTAAGCTTTAGCCCCCCATTTAGCTATCGCTGTTGAAAGCTTGCTGCTCGAAGAAGTGTCCAGGAGTCTCCCGGCAAACGTTCAAGTGTGGTCTGCTGTAAGCTAGCGGCAGGAGCGGGGCTGTCAGCATCCGCTGTTTAAAACACCTTTCGTTCTCTCGCTAGAATCTGCCACCATCCAATAACAACAACAACGTCAAGCCTTTGGGCTCTGAAACTACGGGGCGGGCCGAGGACAAATACACATGCGTTAATCGCACGTTAAAATAAATTGTGGCGTTAAAAACAAAATTGCGTTAACTTGACAGCCCTAATATTTATATTAACAATTGATCAAATGGATGCCTTTTAGTTTATTGTTTTTCATTTTCCAACAGCAGCTTTGTTAAATGGAAACAGACAGTTAGAGACCATCTGAGGAACAAAGGAAATCAAACAGGTGACGACGTTTCAAGGCCATGACACAGCCTGCCACTCTTCCTTTCTATCCCAGCGTCGCACTTTATGATTCTAAAACCAAAAGGGTTGTTTTCTGTAATTTATAATTTCCTGACATTTATATATATATATATATATATATATATATATATATATATTTATAAAAATAATATATATAAATCGGACAAGTCAAATCAATCAATCTGTTGATTCGTAGCTCTCTGTGGAAAATATATGAGGTTTATACAGGGGATAAGATATTATCTGTAAATTATCTCTTCACTAGACCATGTCGAATATGATTCTTCTCTCCCTCTTTCAGACAACAAATCTCTACGAATATAGCACGTTACTGGAATACAAGCAAAGCAGCCGGAAAAGTAACGGAAGGCAGAAACCCTCCTTTTATAACGCAGCAAAATGGGCAGACTAGATCATCAGATAACGTTTGTCAATTCCATTATGTCAGGTGTGCAAGTTTCCTTTTGTGGCATTAGCGGGCAGCAAAATTGAGAGATCTGAGTCAAGCTGTGAAAAAAAAAAATAATAATACAAAAGAGATTAATGTCGCGTTCTCTCTCTCTGGTGCGCCAGAGCAGCTTCAAGAGAGTGTTTGTCAGCAAGCAAGTTGAGACACAAAAGGGGAACTGCATGTAAAAAGACAGATATGATATAAAAGTGACACATGCCCTTCACTTTGTGGGCTGTGTGGATCTATGTGAGTTCCCCACACCTCCCGTCTTAAGATTTAGGCTGGTAAAATCAGTGCTTCATGCCTTTCCCTACGATCTCTACCTGTGTACGATGTGCACGTTTTTCCGCTTTTGATCTTGGTTTGAATCACTTAAACATGCACCCCAGTACCGTCAAGCGTGCAAGCCTTATTGATTATAGATCTTGCGTTATATTCCATTGGCAAGTGATGCATCAAACGACGCATGGATCTATTGATTACACCACTAACAGTAGGGTTGGTGTAATAAGGAATGTCTAAAATATGCCTTATGTTCAGTGTTGCCGGTAGCATATAAGGATTTATCCACCCATGTTGAAAATGTTAAAAAAATATGTCTTGAGATCACGGGCGTGGGCGGAAATATACGCGGTCCGTGCTTGCCCCAAGCTAGATGTGCCTGTCCTCTGGTGAAGAAGGTGTAGTCGGACTGACATGCACAGGAAGAACGGCTTGTCACCAGGCGTGTTCCAACTCTTAACAACTGGTACTACTTCCAGGTACGGTGGATTTGAACATGCAATTGTAATTGGGTTTTGGTATATTTTCATGCACGGGGACAGGTGAGAACACCATGGTTCCACAAACACACAAACTGAACAACACTAAATGTTTCCGATCGCCTACCAGGCCGTCCTTGCGATCTCTTTTATAATAACAAGTGCCGGTACTGATGCAATATGGTTGCAGACCATCGGCTTATTCTAGCGAGCGCCGCGGTGCAAAGAATAGTCCCAAGTAGGTGGGGGGAGTTTTATTACAATAGTTTAAACATAACAAAATAAAAGGTTTTAAAAAGGTTATTGTTTTCAACTGTTTTACACGGAGGTGAATGCTACTCAGCCAATTCAATCGGCTGCAGTCAGCACCGATAGATTCCGAAAACCACACACACAGGCAGACGAGACAAGAGGGGGAGGAGAAACAGTCAGAGTAATTTCAGAATGGCGGAAGTAGACAGCGGAAACAGAGCATTAATTACATGTTTCTCTTACTGGACTCTTTGAAATGCAATTTGAAGTCACCCACTGCATTATAGCAACAACGAGACAATAATAATCATAATAATACACAGAACAAAAATAATTGGGAGGGGGGCGACGGGCTGGTTCTTATGTTCTCTGAGGGGGAGGCTCATCTACCTCCCCACACTTTTTGGAAAACCCCTGCATCTAGTACCTTTCGCAATGATTGATATATTGAATTGTCGCTACTTTTAAAGCAAGCAACAATGGTTTTCACACAC